TTAATCTCTTACAGAGAATAATTTCTCAAAAGCAGAGTACAATTAGTTTTTAAAAATCCATTAAAACACTTTCCATGTAGATATAATATCTGAGGTCCAGAATACATCCATATGTATTCCTAATCACAACTAAATTATGTGTGTTAAAAATCAAATGTCAATGACACAATAAATCAAATGTTTCTTGTGAACTATACATATCAAAAAGGGAAACATCTTCTTTGCATCAAATAACAAGAACTCTTATTAGAAAAAACTGTCACATCCAAGGTAAATGATTGTTGGTACCTATCTAGCCACCTTGCCTTTGAAAAAGTATCTAATTTTTCAAAAGTAAGTGGTATGGCCCATGTGATCAATTAAAATTACATTTAACACATTTTTTCTTACAGTGTATACAGTTTCAAGTTCCTTCCATAAAATTATTTCTGATATCTCTCTTGATAAAATTTAATTCAAAATTTTGACAATTTCTTTTGTAAAATTAAGATACATTTCAATCTAAACTCTGCATCCTATGAGGGGAGAATTTCAATTACCTGTCAAAACTTCTTTGTCACATAAGATACAGTTTCCTTTACACTACTTAACTTTTTACACTGAATAGCATTATGTCACCATTATGCTTTCTTTTATTATAGGATTTTATATAAAACATTAAATTTGCTTTTTGTAACTAAAATAATGTATTTCTTTTTTCTATCTTTAAGATGGCTGAGTCATCAGTACAGAAATCAGAAGTCAGGGAATACTTCTCAAATAAAATGGTCTATTATGAATAGTAAGATGCATGCAATTGACTGTGGAATAGGCTAAAGGCTATCTTAAAACTTTAGATTGTTGTATGGCTTATAATAATACAAAATTGATTGGCATTAAGCCCCTGAGATCATATGAAAAGGCCAGCAAAACAGGGCCTTTGGTTGACACTGAAAATCACAATCATTTTATTTGACCCAGAAAGAGACTAAAGCTCGCTAGAAGCACACCAGAGGGGGAACTAGTCCTCGAAAATAACTATTTTGGTCATGTGGATATTTTGACTTAAACTCAAAGTTGAAAAAGGTGTGAAAAGAAGAGTGGAATTACTCAGTAAGAGATGGACAAGGAAAATTAATAATAAAATGACTAAGAGGAACACTAAAGTGCTCAAAGGTTTTTGCTATATTTCAGTGAGTAAAAAAGTGGAGGACTAGGGATTCATGTAATTGCAAATTGTGAATTATTTTCAGGCTTCTCAAGTAAACAAACAGCAACTGAGAAATAACCTATTTTAGTGTAATAAGCTGAGCAAAAAAATTGAAAGTTATTGTCTTACTTTATTGCTTATGGCTTTTCTCAATAACTTGTTTGCCTTTGTTGACTTTGAAAAGGTTTATGTTTTACAATCTTATCAAAATTACAAGATGATTAAATGCACTTTCCAATTGTAGAAGCTGATTTCAAGTGCTAAAACATGGAGATGAGTATATCATTTTATCCAAGAGCAATTTAATTAGAATTTTAGTTCATGTAAAACTTTGAGTGATCACCAAATATCCAGAGGTACTATCAAAATAACCTTGGAGAAAAATCCTAATTTTACTGACTCTTAAAAGAGTTTGTGCATTGTGTATTTACTGCAACTTACATTAACAATGTGTCATATCAAATCTTCATTGCCAGCAGAAAATTTGAGAAGTATTGTATTTTACTAATAGTGAGGCTGGGGTGGGAAACATCCTTGCTAATAATTCATATATAAATATTTATTTATATGTCCTTCAAATGTATTTAAGTAAAAGTAATATATGAAAATAAATTGCCAAATATAAATGTTCCTTCATAAAATAATTTTGAACATATGCTATGAAAGCTCAATAAATTAAAGTTTCTCCTTCATTTCCTTCTTTGATGACTGAGTTTCTACATCATTTCTATAAATGTTTATGTATATTCTGTAACGATGGTTTTTCAACTTAGTAAAGAGAAAAACATCCTAGAAAGAACATAAAGTATGTACTTTACTGAACAGTGTTAAGTATTTAAGACTGTGACCAGATGAAAGCTATAAATGTTATGAATTATGAAACTGTCACATAAGGAACATATTCTGAAGAACTCTCAGAATGCTGGAGTTGTTCGAAAGTATTCATTCTTTAGGGGCTAGGGATGCAGCTCAGTTGATGAGTCTGTCCTATGTCTAACATGCAGGAAACTCTGAGTCTGATTTCCAGCACTGCAGAAAACCGGGAGTGGTGGCACCTGCCTAGAATCCCAGTTCTGGGGAAGTGGAAATAAGAGAAGTTTAAGGTCATCCCTGGCCACATAGCAAGTTCAAGGCCAGTATGTGCTATATGGGACCTTGTCTCAAACAACAACAACAACAACAACAACAACAAAATTTTGTTCATTCTTTAGTCCTGATTGTTTAACACTATGCATTAAAAATATTAAGTGAGGTTTAATCATCTCAAAGCTACAGGCTAAATTAGCAGCTGATTTTCAAATATTTCTGCATTTGAAGAACATGTGAAAAGCATTTTTGCGTTTCTTTTGTAAGTTTACTGGGGAAAATTGTAGAGAAAAATTAACTAAGGTAACTGTACAAGGTACAAATTGAGGAAATGTTCATTTGATCCAATTATTTTTTTAAATCTCATTTTCTGATAGGATTTCAAATGAAATTTATATGAATATTATAGAAATTTTAACAATAAGCAGTTTGGGACTCCAAGTAGCTATCTGGAACCTGAAGTAGATAGTTGATTCAGCTACTGTCTTCCAATCCTTTGTTATACAAAGATACACAAATTCTATCTTGGTTACCTAAATGATCTTTTCAGGTTGCTCTAAAATGTGTTACCAACAGGTACAAAACAAGTTATCCAATTTAAATACCACGTAAATTTAAAATCACAGCAAATAGTTTTTACCTAAGTTCAAAGGAACTGCGTTTTACACTGGAGAGATTTTTAAAGGACTAGTATACTGGAAAACTAATAATGTGTGTCCAATTACATGCACTGTATGTTGCACTTGCTTCTGAGGACCTAAACTGTGGAAAGAGAAAACGCAACAATGTAACAGGGTGGAAGGTAAAGAAGATGGAGTACGCAGCACTCACTACAAGCATCATGGGAATCTCTAGGAGGTAGTCTATGAAGGTAATCTGACTTCCATGAAGCCAAGAGAGCTTTCCTTTGAATATTGCAGCAACAGACTCTAACTAAACCAACCTTTCAGACAAATTAAAAAATCAAGAGTTTTAATTAAGCATTTTGGCTTCCTGCACACATCATGCCTTCCATGACTGAGAAATCAAAAAGATAGATTTTTTTCCTCGTATTTGAGATGTGCGTGTGTGTGCATGTGCGTGTGTGTGCATGTGCGTGTGTGTGTGTGTGTGTGTGTGTGTGTTGATTGAGGGGGGCTTGATGGGATCTAGGAACACGGAATTTCAAGAGCAAATATGGAAAGGGAACCAGCAGCCAAAAAGATGAGCCACTGCAGGACTTTGTCTTAGTCATCTTTATAACTCCCGTGGCACCTTAGCACAATGCACTGCACACAGGGGACAGTTGATAAATAATGAATTAGGTTTAATTCAATTCACTTGCACTTACACTGTGCTTTGCAGTTACAAAGCATTTTTCACATATTAGATGAGAAAAAGTGAGGAGTAACGGGGAAAGTACGGGATAAAACGAAGCAAAACAGATAGAGGAAAATACAGGGGAATAAGCAAGTGTTCAAAAAGGTTGAGGGGAAGATGGAAGGGGAGGATTGAGTTTCTCATTGCTACTTTCAATACCTTCCAACCACTCACCTTCCACCCTAAAGTATCTGGAGCTTAGAAAGTCGGACTGCTAAGCAAGCCTAAGAAGGGGGCTCCTTTATTTTTGGAACGGGGATTTTCAGAGCTAATAAGCCTTGGAGTCCATCTAACTAGAAAGTGTGCTCAGGTACGACCCTTGAGCAAGGCTTTGAAGATCTCTCAAGCATCTTCCAAGCGTGTCCAAGAATCCCTTATTTTAAAGCATCCATCCCCTTTTCAGAGTTGGGCCTGGGGATGGACTGGAGAGGTCCTCACAAGCCCCTGAACTCAGACAACAGAGGGAGATAGTGAGACACGAAAGCCCAGGGACCAGAGAAAAATCCCACGTTTGTGATTACTAGGGCGAAGGTCTGTAACTGTGGTTATTAGAAACTGTCAGAGGGGGAAAGGAAGGGAGCCTTCAAGATGGAAGAAATGAGAGGGTACTTGAATGTGCACCACCTTACCCCTAGCGTTGAGCTCGCAATAAAAAGCCGCGAGGTCCAAAGCCTCCAGCAACCTGAACCCAGGGAAGCAAAGGACGTGCTGAGGTGCGCAAGAAGGAGCCCGCATCCACCAGCTAAGATGCTGTCCCAAGGGAAGCATGTTTTCCTCACCCCAAAGTAGCTCTCCCCCTCCCCGAGCTTCCCCAGTTCAATCTGGAGGAAGGGATCCCTAGCTTCACACCGGGACGACTACATTCTGACCCCATTATGCAGGCTTAAAAGTTGCCAGGAGAGTTGGCATTGGAGAAGGCACTTGGCAGGGGCGGCTGCAGAAGGGGCGTCAGGTTTCCAGGAACAAAGGGGCTGGTGGAGGGGCAATCATCGGGGAGCAGGTCCCGAGGGCTCATCCCTGAGCTGGGAAACAAGGGTCGCCTCGTCCTCCTGGCCCCGAGGGCATCGAGGGAAGCAAGAAGTGGACGAGATGCTCTGGGATTCCACCGCCCTGCTTCCAGCCTCCAACCAGGTGGCGCCCGCCGCCCTCTCGCTCTTCGCGCCCCTCCAGATGAAGACAAAAGGAGACCATGGCCCCCGGACTCCTGCCAGACCCGGGGGACCCCCTTCGTTCCCAGAGGGGACCCTGATCAGGCTGTGGAAGGTCCGCAGGCCGGCTGTGCCTGGACGGGCGCCCCTCCCTCGGTCCTGGTGCCGGGACCCCCGCCCCCGTGTCAGGTCGCCCTCCCCACAGAGGGCATCATTACCTTTCATCCAGTCTACTACTTGACTCGGAGACCATTTGCTCACTGGTTCCATGATCAGAGCCATGAGCGCTGGCTTGCCTCCGCGTGGGGCGCGGACCTCGGACACAAAACGAAGTCAGCGGCGGGAGCCTTCGTCAGGTGGGGTCCCCGGGTGGCCGCAACGTCCCTCCGGGGTCGGCGGCGGAGACAGCGGCTTTTGTGTGGCTTTCTGGAACAGGCACCCTCAGCCACTGCCAGAGCGGGAGGCTAAGCGCTCGGGTCGCGGCTCCGCGCCGGCTCTGCTCAGTCCCAGCACAGGCGGCGGCTGCTGCTGCCTCGGCCGCTCCGCCCGGCTCCGTCCCGCGGGCTTCAGTTCATGGCTCGAGCCGCCGAGGGTCGCGGCTTTGGAAGGCAGAGCCGCAGCCGCACGGCCGCAGCCAACTTGCCGGCTCGCCTGGAGCGCGGGAGTGAAGCCCCCGGCACGAAGAGCTGCCCGGCGGAAATGACGAGGGGCCTCCTGCCACCCAAAATATCTCTCCGCAGCCCTCGGGTGCGGGGCGCGCGCTCCACGAGCCCCCCGCCCGTTCGCCGCCGCGCGGTCCCGCCCCCAGGGCCGACAGCAGGCGCGCGCTGGGCGTGTGCGCGTGCGCCGGGCAGCGCGAGGCTGAGGCTGGAGCCCGAGGTCTGTCTGCAAGGCAGGCAGGTGCGGGCAGCTTGCACACTCGCGTTCCCGCCCCGGGGTCGGCACGCGGACAGATGCTCCAGGGGGCCGGGAGAGGCCGCGGGGGAGGTGGATCCTAGCCGAGTGGGGCGGGCGGGCAGGAGAGAGGCTGCAGCAGCCTCAAAAGGGACAGGCGGGCGAAATGAGCTGCTCACCAGTTGAACGGACAGCCACCGAGGGCAGTGGGGCAGCGCCAGACCCGAGGGTGACCACCGGAATCCCGGGTTTCCTTGCTTTCTCGCTAGGTGATTTCCGAGACCCGTGGAGAAGCGAGATGTGGACTTCGGTGGACTAGAGCTGGGCTGTGCCACCCAGAAACACAGCGATGAGGAGGGAGGAGGGACGGGGCTGTCGGCGCTCCCCTGGACAATTAAAGGGCTCTGGAAAGTCCAGATCTGTCAACTGAGGGAGACTGATCATGGTCATGGAGACCGCCCCTCCCCGCTGCCCTCCTCCGCCCCCTTCCACACATGCCTTTTGAAAGGGTTCTGTTTCAGGCTTTCGGTCAACTCCTACAACACAGAGTTCCCAGGATCTATTTTACAGGATGTCATTTTGTGTTCAGATATTCTTATATAAGAACCAAAGAGTAATAATGGGATTTAAAATGAGTGACATATTGCAAACATGATGTTTCACATACTGTTTCCTTCAAAAATCTATGTAGGCTTCTCTGCAGCTCTTAGTAGAATACAAAGAATCCTAGAGAGTATAGAAGCAAATGCTACCATTATAGGTGATTTATTGGTATAATTCTTAAATAAGTCCATTGACTAAAAGAGAAACTGTTTTTTCTATGATCATTTCAATGTCAATAAATGTTGCCAGTTCTTACAGTAACCATTTTGTCTAACTCAATTTTATGAGATGCAGAACTGTTACTTTCTTCAGTTGGCATGAGTTAACAAATCCCCATCTCAAATAGCAACAGCATCATTAGTAAAACTATGATGTTTTCATGCTAGTGGTACAAGTCAAGTAAAATTTAAGAAGCTCTTTTTTTTTTTTGGTCTTTTTGAGACAAGGTCTCCCTGTAGCTCCAGCTGTCCTGGAACTCACTATGTAGACCAAAGCTGGCCTTGAACTCACAGAGATCTGCCTGCCTCTGCCTCCCAAAGGCGTGAGCCACCACACCCGGCAAGAAGCTCATTTTTATTCTTGTTTACTAATACCCCAAACTTTAAAACATATGTAAAATTTTGGAAAGAAGTTTAGAAGATTAGCCAACTGGTGTCACCAAAATACTCCTACTCCTACTCCTACTACTAATAGACATTTAATTGAGATAACTAAGCACTTTACATTTTATTTTATCCTCAAACCAGCTCTACTATTAACCACATTTTACAGCTAAGGCCTTACCTATCACATTCACTTCCTAGTTCCCAAATCAATAGCACATAAATGTTACTGGATAAATGAATAATGTTTTAAAAGTTCAAATTTACCCAAGATCACAATACATGATTGTAACACCAACTAAATTCTGTAACATCAATTTTGAAAACTAGTAAAGTTTGTATCAGTGTCACAAAATGACCAGTATTAGTGAATGGAAAGTCCACTGCAGATAATTAGCTGAGTATATTTCACCAGAACGTTAACTACAAAGAAGTATGAGAGTCACCATGTGTTTTCCTGATCCACACCTAACCAGAAACTGTGAGGATGTACGACATTACAAAATTTGGTTACAACACCAAATTGCACAGCAAGAGACTGGTCTTTCATGACAAGCAACCATACTGTGGGTCATAATGCAAGCAAGTGCAAAGTAAGTTATCACTTGTTTAATGAGCGTAATATCAATGGAGACAAATGTCAGAGAGAGAAACAGAGAGAGAGAGAGAGAGAGAGAGAGAGAGAGAGATTACATGAAAAGAAAACTGCCAAAGAAGATAGGAAAGAGCCTAGAAAAACAGAATTTTGAGGAAGACCCTGTCTCAGATGAATATATACATAGTCACCTCCAATTTATGTTACAGTCAGGATATTTTGGCTTAATCATGTAACTATAACTAAACACTAACAAAATGTGATTGTGAGAAAAAAAAAAGTAAAAAGCTAGGCGTGGTGGCACAAGCCTTTAATCCCAGCATTCGGGAGGCAGAAACAGGCGGATCTCTGTGAGTTTGAGGCCAGCCTGGTCTACATAGTGAGTTCCAGGACAGGTGGGGCTACAGGAAGACCCTGTATCAAAAAGACAAAAAAATGTGATTGTGGAGTCATGCTATCTAATAGGTTTCTTCAAAGCCTGAAGTATTTCTCCTAAATTCTCCTTCCTTAGGTTTCTCCCACAAAATTTAGCTTTTGCCATGATTTTGACAATATAATCAGCATAAATCATTACTTAATCATCACTTAATCTGTTCAGAACATAACAGGCTTTTCATTTTAAGTATTCTTGGTTTTGGGGGGAAGAAATATAAAGGGAATAAATCATCGTTGCTCTTATTCTTTTATTGTTAACTACAAATGACTCAGCTGAATCTTTCTGTATTTTTCATTTCACGACTGTTCAAATAAACTACCATTTATATACTTGTGCCTGTTACACAAAATTTAATGTCTTGCTCCACTTTTCTAAGTATAGTAGAATGTGTCTATATAAACCTTGGCCAACTTATTCTTACCTTAAAGCACAACACAATCTTAAATATTAGGGAGAAGATATGTTGTCATAAACACATACAAAAATAAGCACACTAAGTAATATAATGTCACACATTCTTCAGATTTAAACGGAGGCAAAATAGAAATATTAAGTTAATTAAATAAATTTGAGATACAACTTTTGAGATAATTGCAATCATGTTAAAATGAATTACTTGAAATAATCTTTTAAAATCTGTTTATATTTTTAAAAATGATGTCAATTCAGTTCATGACACTAGTTGTTATAGTTCTTTTTTATTCTTCCACTACATTTCAAAAGTAAAGTTCCTTAATCAAAATATTCTGTTAAGATTTTATAGTGTAGTAATTGTTTTAATTATGTTTTGGTGCAGAATTTATAAATTAACTGAATCTTACTTTTAGGGATTATATCAGCTAGAAAGGGAGCCTTTCACTGGAAGAAGAAACTTTAAGCCTTTGTCTCTTTGGTGCCAAAGGCAGAAATAAACGATGTAAATGCTTTCCAAAATAGGCTTTACTATAGAGATCTTAATTTTCAGTTACTATTTCTTTTGCAAAGATACCCGCTTTTTATTACCATAAATGATATATTTTAATTTTTCAGTTATTCCAAATTTAGACAAAACACCTTACGACATTTTTC